ACTATTTCTCTCTTTGTATACCTTATAATATACCTTTTATACATAAAACACCAAATTTAGCTAATCTTGGGGTCAATGTATTAATATTATATTATTTATCTTCTCAAAATAGTTAGTCATGTGACTATCTTTTATTACTTCATACAAATTATATTTCAGATTTACTGAATATATTGATGAAAATGGGCATAACAAGTGCTAATTTGATAGGGACATACATATAAAGTAATAATAGGCCTTTTTAACGATTTTAAAGTATATTAATTATTTCTTTCTATTAATATAATATTAAATTTGTATTTACAAGCGTATTACCGTATACGGCTGTATACGGTACACACCGTAGCCGTACTTGTGTCCTAGAACTCAAAAAACGGTCGTATTTTTACGACCGTACCCCGTACAGACCCGTACAGAGTACGGTCGTACCCCGTACAGACCCGTACAGAGTACGGTCGTACCCGTATACGGTACGCTCGGATCCCTACCTCGAGGAGGCCATCGAGCTGCATCGGGCTTCCCTCGAACTTCTACCCAAAGGTCATACAGACCATTATATGTCGCTCAATCATCTCGCAAGCTCCCTGATGACTCGATACAAACAGCATGGAAGGACAAAGGACATTGGGGAGGCTATTGAGCTACATCGAAGTGCCCTCAAGCTTTGCCCTGAAAGTCATCCATATCGTTATGTGTCTCTCAATAACCTCGCAGCTTCTCTTTGGATGCAATATGAGCGGGATGGAAGGACAGAGGACCTTGAGGAGTCCATTGAGCTGAATCTATCTGCCCTCAAACTTTGCCCCAAAGGACATCCGAGTCATTCGTCGTCTCTCAGTTGCCTTGCAACCTCCCTGAGAGTTCGATACAAGCAGCATGGAAGGACAGTGGATATTGAGGAGTCCATCGAGTTGCATCGAGCTGCTCTCGAACTTCGACCCGAAGGCCACCCGGACCGTTTCTCATCACTGAGAAATCTCGCAATTGCCTTAGAGTTTCGGCTTAAGAAACAATGGAACACGGAAGAGTTTGACGAATGTATACGGTTACTGGAGCTTGCTGTTATAGATAAATTCTCTGGATTGCTGGAGCGCCTTCCTGCTGCGCAACAATGGGTAACGCTTGCGCGATTGCACGATCATGACACTATCTTCGCAGCTTACAAAGCAGTACTGTCAATACTTCAGCACGCTCTCACCATAAATCCAACTCTCCACACACAACATGACTTCCTCCTCAAGAACAGTGATTACACAGTACTCTCCCTGGACGCTACTTCTTACGCAATAAAGAAAAATCGATTAGAGCAAGCCGTGGAGATGCTTGAGCAGGGCAGGGATTACTTTGGTCGCATCTACGTGGTCTTAGGCCTCCTCTGGATCAACTTGCAGAAACAAACGACGAGCTTGTCGACAGATTCAGAATGTCAGTCGTTGACTGGAGAAACTGGGAACAACACACGAACCGCTGATTTCCACTTCAACTATGTACGGAGACGGCTCACTTGGACTGGACGTCATAAGGGAACGTGAATCATTTGACGAATTGTTGAAGTTGAAAAGAAAACTATCTAGTGAGCGGGAGGAAGTCATTAGTGAGATTCGGCGAGTTCCAGGTTTCGAGAGCTTCCTTGAAGCAACGCCATTCAAGGTATTGCGGCAAGCAGCTTCAGAGGGCCCAGTCATCATGGTTAATCACAGCAAATTCCGTTCCGATGCTCTCATAATTCTCTCTCGCGGAGACCCGTCAGTTATATGTATTCCGTTGGACAGTGAGTTTCATTCGGATAGCCTCGGGCTGCCACAAGAACTTGTGGTGACACGCGAATGGCTCAACGCTGATTCGTCCCATTGTGATCAAAAGCTTCGTAAGGCAATGAAGATGCTGTGGGACAGAGTAGTCTCAAAGGTTGTCGTGGAACTTGAAAAAGTTGGGATTGCTAAAGGCTCTCGTATCTGGTGGTGTCCTACATCTGAGTTGTCCGCTCTTCCATTCCATGCAGCAGGGCCATTCGAGGATGCAAGTGGTATAACGAGATACTTACTGGATGATTATATCTCGTCGTATACGCTAACTCTCAGAGCCCTCATCAATGCACGCTTACCTGGCAGTGAATACGATCCAACTGTACTCGTCATCGGAGATACCTCACTTCGGTCAACTAGACAGGAGATTTCCAACATCCGGAATTGTGGGATGAGCACCAAATTACTCATCGACAAGAAAGCGTCTCGCGATAGAGTGATTGAGGCGATCCGGGAAGCAACATGGGTCCACTTTGCTTGTCATGGACAACTAGGCTCAACGCCTTTCAACTCTTCGTTCAAACTATCAGACCGCGGGATGACATTGCTCGATATCGTCCAAAACAGACTTCCGAATGCAGAATTCGCCTTTCTTTCTGCCTGCCACACTGCAGAGCAACACCACGACAGTGCATATGACGAAACTCTTCACCTCGCGGCTGCCATGCAATTTTCTGGTTTCCGAAGTGTAATTGGTTCAATGTGGGAGTTGCTTGACAAGGATGGGCCTGGATTAACTAAATCTGTTTATGAGTACATCAATGACTGCGAAGTGGGCGAAGCAAAGTATAAGAGGGTCGCCGGGGGTCTTCACAAAGCAGTGTTGGAGTTGAAGGAACGAGATGGGATTCAGGTTGAAAGATGGGTTAATCTTGTGCATATAGGTGCTTGAACAATGTTATACTAATGAGTCTACGAAGGTTAGGAGCTTGAGTTAGTCATCAACTGGAGGATCTCGCGACATCGCACGAAGCATTAGCGTCTGGCTCAGACATCAATCGAAGTGGTTCACAACCCCAGAGAAGTCTCACAAGGACTGTTGCTATAGTGGATGAGTAAAGGAATGCATTTTGTAACTCATTGCATAAAAGTTGCTGTAACAAATTCTTCCAACTGCTCTCAAAAATGCTTATAGATTAAAATCCTATCTACATTTGTTGTTTACAGCTGAGAATTTGCTGTAAATTCGAGAGAAAAAGTATGTCTTGGGTGTGTATTCAGGATTATGAAAAAAAAAGACATACAATATTTGCTTTTTTGACCAAGTACCTTATTGTTACTGATTTTACAGAATCTGTATCATTAGTGTCTCTACAGTAGAAGCCATTGTAACTGTCTCCTTATCCTTTCAGTCTAAGGATATTTTGGAAGTATATAATCTATACAGTTTACAACTTTACAAATACTTATGACTAGGATGAGTGCGATCATTCGATTTTCTAAACCCCTCTTGATCCCTGATAAGGTCTCTAAGACCATTCGCATCTTTGTTCTCGATATAACCTTTCACTCGATCTTTATAATTATCTATCTTCTCTTTAAAACGCTTAATCTCCTCTCTGTACCAAGGAATCGGTTCATTTGCTTGTTCGCTTATGCAGACTTCTAAGTTTTTAATTAAATGATCTATTTCCTTATTGACTTGACCTATACGACCATTGACGAGATTCTGTGTAAATACGTCCACCCTGCTAGTACTATTCCCTTTTGTGTACTTGTAGAAACTCTGAGAAATCTGTATTTGGAACTCCTTTGCTTTTGTAAACTCCTCAAGCAGCTTTTCGAACGCTTCCAGTCTGAGTTCCAGCTTTCCTTGTATTACTTCGAGTCCCTTGATTGATGCTTGGTATCTTTCTACTTCCCCTTGGAAATCAAGAGGCATGTTGGGCATGATTGTACTGTCACCATGATTACTGCTTCGGGTTGATTTTGAAGATTGTTTCTGACTCATTGTGGCTTACGGTTTTGCTAGGGTTTACACAGTCTACAATAGCAGGATGGAGCTAAAAAAACTAGATTCCTTTGCTGACTTATATATTGTGATTTGTAGACATCAAAATGCAAAGTACATTACCTTACAATCATGATTGAGCCAACACATACAACTGGAATGTAAGATACCTGTGGCAACTGATTGCACTTTGCATTAAAGTGCTCATTACCTAGCAACAGCTTGTGAACAGTACATTCTAATGCTCTACTAGGTGTGGTGATAGGGAAAGTTTACTACTATTTAAACTATTTCATCTAAAGTGGAGTACAGTAATCTTTATAAAGAAATACATAAAGTATCAGATGTAAAGGACTGAAATGCTTTGTATTTATCCAATATTGTACTGTCAAGAAGTCTTACATTACTAAACATTTTACACTCATACAGCTTAGGAGATAGACACAAGCTGTCTGTCAATTCTTAGCACTTATTTCTAATGTTCAGATACAAATGAAATTGTTCCTGTAAAGGTAAGAGTTGCTAGAATAGAGAATAGTCTTGAAGGCTGTTATAGTATTCTTTAAAAAGACAGTATGAGTATATATAATACTATAATTTAGTTCCTGTTATTAATAGGCAACTTTCAGCTCTTAAATAATATAAGAGACAAGTAATAAAGTTTTACTACAGTAAAGAGACTGAACAGTTGAGTAAAATGAAGGAGTATAAGAATGACCTAAAGTTGTCTGAATTTCTATTAGATTACACTTCTTAGTTTGACAACTATTAGAAAATATATTATAAGTCTGTACTATCCTTATAAGAAATTGAGAGTATTATCTCTACTCTTTTATCATTCTTTATTATAACCTTCTGAAAGTAGAGTAACTATTCTTAAAGGCTTATAGTTAGGAGAGTGAGTATATAAAATACAGTTCTGTAAATACTGTATATAAGTATACACATAATTTCTAAACTACAGTTATGTAGAAAAAGTGTTTGTCTTTCCTAATTAAGAAAATGTATTAGTAACTGATTTGCATTAACTTATTAGACAGTTTGAGACACAAGATGAAGGTTTGACATGTCTCAAACTGCCTAATAAATTAACACAAATCACTTACTAATGTATCTGCCTAATCAGGAAAGACAAACACTTTTTTAATATAGCTGTATTTACAGAGTACAGTAGTAAATTTACAACTAAAAATTTTGTAACTCAAGCTGGTTACAAATACAGTATTACAGTAATATTAACATACTTTAAATTTTTCTTTCAAATAACACTATATTTTAACTATTTTTATTGTTGTAAAAGTTTTTATATACTATATAACTTAAAGAGCTAATATAGTAAAAATACTGTATAATAACTACTTAATATTTTATAAAGTAATAATCAAAATAAAGTATTATATTATATAATTGTATACATGTTATATAATAATGAAAATAAATATAATAAATAAGTAAATATAATAAAATAAACAAAAAGTGTGTATTTTAGTATAAATATTAAATAAACATACTGGGAGTTATTTTAGTAAGAGAGGAATGTAATAAATAGTAAATATATGTTTGTAATAATGCATTTCTATTTTAGAAAGTTGTAACTGTATATATTTATATACACTTGTAACTAACCTTACAATTACTGTTACAACATGTAAAACTATAATATAGAGTTATAAGACAATATGAAACACTTTAACATGTTTTGTAAATTTGTCTGTTGTAAGTACAGTATTAATTACAAGAACATTTATGATTATAACTCTCAATCTAACTAAAGTGCCAATTCTAGAAGTGTAAAAACAATTCATTGTCAGCCCTTGTCTTAGATTTGTGTACTATAGAATTTATATACTAACTAATGTATGTTTAAGGTAGAGTACATAACAGATAGAAACAAATACTACTATAGTTCAAGTTTCTCTTAAGGATTTTATTAGTTGAACACATTATACATGTTCTTACTATCAAACACTCAAACACTTTAGACAACTAGGAGAACAGGAAGAACTTGAAAAGTTAATTACTCAAAATTATATTACTTTCAGTCTTTCTCCTGAAGAACATTCTAATTATTTAAAATTATTATATACTCTTACAGATTCTCTTTCAAAACATTACAAGAAATAGGTCATCAGTATGTGCTATCAAGTTGAGACAAGCTGTCCTCAGGATATGCTCTAAAGATTACTAGAGTTGTCTTGTATCTTTTAATAACTTTACAAACTTTTTATAGACTTAATATGAACAGTGTAGAATGTCATACATTATTAAGGAAGGTATTTATTTGTATTGAGCTGCCCCTTATGTCAGCAACAGTGTAGAGGGGACCTGAAGGCTCAGTAAGAGGACCTAGGCTACAACTATCCTACACAACAGAAATACAAAATGTAAGTACTAGAACATAGTCAGAACTTGTAGAACAGGCAGAGAGAGAGAGTGAGACAAGAGTAAAGTATATAGAGTGAGCCTAAGAGTACAGGACTACCTAGAGTAGACAAGATCAAGACTACAGGACCAGTCTGATCTTGTATACTTATATATACTAAACTACACAAGAGTACTTAGGGAGTATAAGCTACTAAGAATAATAAGCTATAAAGAATGAAAGAAAGGAAAGGTTAAAGATAAAGGTACAAAGAATGAAGGGATGGACAAAGGGTAAGAGACTATAGAATGAACAAAGAATGAAGGGGTGGTCAAAGGAATGGAATAATAAAGTAAGGAAGGGTAGTAGTAAGAGTCAGTACATATTGAAACTCCTATAAAGTGTCTAAGAGAAGAACACAGGTGATTTGTTAAGTTTGAGAGGGAGCTAAACTACAAGTCTTAGGAGACTAGAGTGGTTCTGAACAGGTGTGAGATCTTCCAGCACAGTTGTGACCTTAGAAGAGAGATGTGAATAACAGAAAGTGTACTTTGTAAAGTATACAACAAACAATCTGATACAGAAAAACAATGAAGACTAAGACTATACTTCACACTAGAGGACTTCAAGACAAGAGACAAGAGCTAAATCAATAGGTAAACTATCTGAATTCCCCCCATATCTAGTATATGAGTATCTGTATTTATAGTTTTCTGAGTTTCAGAAAAGTATAGTACTAACAGGGAAATGTTATGACTGAACAAAAGAAAAATAACAAAATATACAAGAACAAATAAGAGAACCTTTTGCTAGAGGTTGAAAGAAAATAGGGTGAAAATGTATGAGGAAAATTTAAGTAGTCTGTATTCTAGTTATAGGAAATGTTATACAAAAAGGGAAAAGTAAGATTTACATTAAAAGAAGTAGAAGGTTCTTATACTGTTATTATCTGATTAGTACAGACAAAGTGTAGAGAGTTCTAAGATTTCTAGTAGTCTCTTAAGATTATTACTTTAATTACCCTAATGTTCTATCTGATTAGAAGATTGTAATACTTTGATCTAGGTAATAATAATATAATAGTTTGCTGAGTCACTCACTGTGACACAACTTGTGTTCTGAGCCTATAATAAGTATGTAATCTGTACATCCTATAGAGAAAATAATGTGTGTAAGCTGATTCTAAGACTGTGTACACTTATAGTTCTGTTTACATATGCTTGTAATATAGAATAGTTAGGTGTTCTTAGAGTAGGCTTTTATGAGTCACATAAGTGTTTAGAATTAATTACTATGATTATCTGTATATAATGTACAGTTCTTAGTATAATACTAATTGTTTTATCCCTTAGTACATTTACTTATAACTGTCTATAGTTATATAGTTAATTTAATAATTAGTAGGCTGAATGTAAGTTCTGTGTGTGTATAAACATTATTACTTATTCTTCCTACTTTCTTCTATCACTCTTACTATATTATTACTACTTTCTAGCAAATCTAACAGTAAGTATTATACTCTTTTCTACTCTTTTTATACTAATTTTATGATTTTCCTTAGAAATTGTATACATAATAATATAGTAACTAGTAAGAGAATAAACATAAATAACAAGCTAGTCAAACATACACTTAGTAAGTACCTCTGTAAAGTATATTGTCTCTGACTCATATACTAATATACTCTATAAGTTCTAATATAGAAAATAAACTAGAGGATAAGATTGTAAAGGAGGAAACTAATAGATTAACTATAAATTCTAAGTCTGAAGATAAAGAGAGTTTAAACAATAATACTTACAATAATAATAATTTAGAGAGTAAGAAGGTTTTGTTTATACTAGTAGAAGGTTAATCTAGTAGTAAGTCTCTTATTTCTTGTTTTCTAATTTGTTTACTAATACAGAACATTTTGTAGATTGTAAAGTAATAGTAGAGGAGCTTACAAAAGTAAAAGAGAACAAAGCTACTACTAAAGTAAAAGTAAAGACAAAGGCTAAGAAAGTAACATAAACTAAAGTTAAGGAAGAGGCTTAAACTAAAGTAAAGAAGGAGAAGAAGAGAGGAAAGGAGAAGGAGAAAGAGAAAGAGAGAGAGAAGGAGAAGGAGAAGGAGAAGGAGAAGGAGAAGGAGAAGGAGAAGGAGAAGGAGAAGGAGAAGGAGAAGGAGAAGGAGAAGGAGAAGGAGAAGGAGAAGGAGAAGGAGAAGGAGAAGGAGAAGGAGAAGGAGAAGGAGAAGGAGAAGGAGAAGGAGAAGGAGAAGGAGAAGGAGAAAGAGAAGGAGAAGGAGAAGAAGAAGAAGAAGGAGAAGACTATAGTCTTAGTATAGTTAGTAATAAAGTAAAAGAATAAGAAGGAAAAGGAGGAGTTTAAGAGTATGTGTGTAAGTATAACTAATAAATTATACATAATAACTAACTATTTACACAGGTTCTAATACTGTTACAAATGTAGAAAAATTAAAAATAGTAGTAGAAAAGAGGAACAAGTTAGGTATAAATTAAATGTATGACTAACAAATTATACACTACTAATATTATCTTTACTTAGTTTCTAAAGAATTTACAAAACTAAAAAAGAAAAAGCTAGTTGTAGAGAAAGAGAAGGTTAATATAAGAAAGGAATAAAAGGAGAAACAAGTTATAGTTAGTAAGTACAAATATGACTAATAAATTATACTAAGCTAAAACAATGTTTCTCCTAGTTTCTTAAGTAGTTACAAAGTTAGAAAAGAAGAAAGAGAACAAAAGTAAGGAAAAAAGTAATATAGATAAAAGGTAGTTAATTTTCTAAGTATACTAACTCTATTTTGTTATTTAAAGCTAGTACTAGTACTCTTAAGTAAGAAGTACACTATTATTAAAGTAAAGATTCTAGTCTCTAGTAGAAATATGTACAAAAAACTA